TTTTTTTTTTTTTTTTTTTTTTTTTTTGCTTAGGGTGCATGTGTTCACCAAAGAGAAACAGAGAGAGGGAAAATAAGTAAACACTCCCCAGGGGGGATAGCCACTTTGCAATCCCCTCTCCATTCTCTGGGATTTTAGACACACTCACACACATCCTGTGTGTTCTTCAGACTGCCTGGGACAAACCACACAGTCGGCAGTGTGGGATCCAGCCCCCTTCACGGCCACCAGCTGGCCCAAATTAATGAAACTACTAAGAGTTTCATCCGAGTAGTTTTCACAGTAGCAACTAATCATTCTTTAGGCAGTGATGGACACACACCAGAAACTCCACATACAAAAGCACGTGTTTGCATAGGCTCTTAACGTCTACTCCTGGAGCCTTCGTACCAAGAAACTTCAGTGTGATTCTACTGATAGAAAATGTTCAGACTTTGGACTGGGTAATTAAGACCCTGGACAGCAAGCCTGCCAGAGTGTAGTCTCAGGAACAAGTTAAATCCGCCTTCTAACTTGAGATCTTTTGTTGCAAATAGCATGGAGGTGCCTAACCTACAAACTACTATATATAGTATTGTCCACCCTGAAGGGAGTTCAACATGTTTTACAAATAACTTGCAGTCATCTAAAGCTTCATTTCCTACTGAAATCAGCAGGGGACTGGCCTCTACAGAGAAGAGAATAAAAGAGGCAAATAAAGGGGAAGAAAGACAACAAAGAGGGCCTTGCTCAAGGCCATACACTGGCCAGCAAGCTCTCCTCTGGACAAAAACCTAAGCCCTTCCTCAAAAAGAGGGACTGCTGACACTTCCTCTGAGTGTTCATCACGGAGGCACCTACCATGTGACCCAGCTATTCCACTCTTAGGTATCTACCCAAGAGAAATAGAAACGCGTGTCTACATACTTGCACCAAAACGTCCATAGTAGTAGTAGTCATATAAAGGGAATCAGTAGCTTTACTCATAATATCCAAAAAAATGGAGTTACCAAAAAATGTCCATTAGCTGTTGAGTGGATAAACAAAACGTGTCTATCCACACAATGAGTATTAATTGACTACAGAAAGGAACGAGGAGGGGCCGGCAGGTAGTGTGGTGGTAAGGAGCTGGACTCCCACATGGCCGACAATGATTTGAGTCTGGAACTGGTGACTTAGAAATCATGCCAGGTAGGACCACCAGATGGCATAGCAGTTACTTCCTTGGAGTCCCACATGGCCGACCATGGCTGGAGTCCTGGACCCACTGGCTTCAAACTCACACCAGATGCATGTGTGGTGCGCCCAAGATCCTGGAAGAGGAGCAAAGGAGGAGGGGTTACTGAGTGGCCATTCCCCCCAGGGGATGATTTCTCACTTTCTCTCTCACTATCTCTGTGTGTGTCTGTCTCTGGCAAGTGCACACACCCCAGAACAAAACAAACAAACAAACAAAAATAAAAACAAAAAACCCTCTGTTAAAAAAAATTATAATCACACTAAGAGGGCTGGCAGAGGCACTAGACTCCCACATGGCAGACCACAGTTCCAGTCCCAAACCTGGTGGCTTACTTTTTTTTTTGGAGAGGTTTTTGCTATAGGGCACGTGCGCTCCTCAGAAAGACAGAGACAGAGAGACAGAAAGTGAGAAGTCACCCCCCGGGGCATGGCCACGCCTCAATCCCTTCTCCATTCTTCTCCATTCTTCTCTCAGGATCTTGGGCAAGCACACACATGCACCCAGTGCGCATTTAAGCCACTGGGTCTGGGACTCAAACAGCCATTGACTACATGAGAGTCCAGTGACATAGTCATTATGCCAACTGCTGGTCTCGTGGTGGCTTACTTTCTCTTGCACTCTCTCTGGTCAAATGAAAAAATAATAATAATAAATAAAATTAAATAAATCCTTAAAAAAACAAACCATGCCAGGTGCATGTGCATGCATGCCCAAAATCCCAGTGGAAAATGAAGGAGAAGACTGAGGAATATTCATCCCCCTGGGGGTGATTTTTCACTTTTCCTCTCACTGCCTCTCTCTGGCAAGTGCACATGCCCGATAGAAAACACCTAAAAACAAAACAAAAAAAAGATACATAAAGAGGAAATTTTAAAAAGGAATGAGGAATAGGGACCGGCAGTTGGCGTGGTGGTTAAGAGTGCTGGACTCCACATGTCCGACCATGGTTCAAGTCCCAGACCTGGCAGCTTGTGTTCTCACTTTCACCTTCCCTCTCAATCTCTCTCTCTCTCACTCTGTCCCTCTCTGGTCAAATGAAAATAAGTAAATAAATGAAATTCAATAAAATAATTCTTCAGAATAAAAAAGGAATGAGGAATGAAGTGCTAACACATGCTACGACATGATGAACCATGAAAACATTCTGTGTAAGGAAAGAGGCCAGTCATGAAAAGCCACATGTACTATCACCCATGCATATGAAATGTCCAGAACTGGGACAGACTAGGGACAGAAAGTAGATCAGCGGTTCCCAGGACCTGGGGTATAGAGTGGTGGTAGGGAGGGGCGCATAGGTAGTAAGGAGTTTATTTTTTGAAAGATTAAAATATTTTAAACTTAGATTTTGGTAATTGTTACATAACTATGAATTATACTAAAACTATTGAATTGGTATGTCTCTCTCTGTCTGTCTGGTGAGCGCACGCGCCCTACAGTGAAATTTTAAAAAAAAAAAAAAAAAAAAGGACCAGCAGTTAGCATAATGACTATGTCGCTGGACTCCCACGTAGTCGACCACAGTTCGCGTCCCAGACCCGGTGGCTTAAAAGACCGGGCGCATGTGCATGCATGCCCAAGATCCTGAGAGGAGAATGGAGGAGAAGGGATTGAGGCGTGGTCATTCCCCCTGGGGGGTGATTTCTCGTTTTCTGTCTTTCTGTCTCTCTCTGTCTGTCTGGCGAGCTCACGCACCCTATAGCGAAAACCTCTCTTAAAAAAAAAATCTATTGAATTATACACATAAAGTGAGTGGAGGGTTTTAGATTTTATTTTGTTTATTTGGAATGTGACATATATCTCAATAAAAGGTTTTTAAATTTTTTTACCACTTTCCACTCCCAACCATATAAACTCGGGTTTATTAATGCAGCCAGTTTTTTTTACATATATTTAGTGCAAAAGCGTTGTTTAAAACAATTTCGCAGCATTAGGCCAGCCTATGGCCATGTGGCTGGACCTCAAATGTGCACAGTCTAAGTCCCAGACCCAGTGGCTTGAAAACTATGCCAGGCACATGTGCATGGGTGCCCAAAATCCCCATAGGAGCATGGAAGAGGAGAGACTGATGCATGGTCATCCCCTCTGGGGGGATTTCTCTCTCTCTCTCTCTCTCTCTCTCTCTCTCTATCCAATAAGCACATAAACCCTATAGCAAAAATTAAAAAAAAGAAATCATAAGAAGCATTACATGTCACATCTCACGCACTGAGTGTTAAAGAGAAGGTTGATTAGTCTCAGTGCAATACTATGAATTATAATCTCTCTAAGTGAAGCAGCCTGCTTGCTATTGTTTCATTTAACAATACCTTGTATAGTACCTAGTAGAGGTGATCAGTAAATGTGGAATGAATGAGAAGTAGGGCCAGGAGAGGCCTCTGTGCAGTAGAAAGATAGGTATTTCTTAGTTCCAGGTCCGGCTTTACTATTTAATATAAGCATTCTTTAAAAAGTTCATGGAAATGCCTAGTATAAAAACAACTTTACATGGACTGCGAAATTTTTTCACAAAAAAACCTCTTACTTTAATTCAACTTTTCCACAAATTATCTGAAGCCCCCTTATAGTTG